CAAATTGGCTGTGGAATTCGAAATCCACCTTGTATAATATCCTCTAGTAAGGTGTCTTGTAGATTGGGCTCTTCTGCTAGTCCTAAAAGATTACTAAGTAGGCAGTATATAAAACTAGGACTGAGTCAGCTGCGCGAAAAGATTTTGAAACTCAACAAACAGTGAAAACGGCAGCAACACCCAGATGTGGATTCAAACCATGGTCATCAGTACTTTAATCTGGCACAGTAACAATTGATCTATTGTCCACCCCTATGTTCTCTGACTCGATATTTACTCAAGCTATTTAGAGCCAATCTTCTTATACTTTTGTTCAGCCAAAGGACAAGGTTTTCAATAATAACGTTAACAATATGTTGTTAAAAACAAAAAGCTATTTGTAATCTCAGAGCTCCTTCTTAACAAAAATAGTATAAATAATGATGGTTCAGTGCAGGCCTCCTCTTTGCTTTGATGGGTTTTTTTCTTCAAGTTGTCCTTGTTTTTCAACAATTACTATTATTCCAGCCCCTTGTGAGGGCTGTCTACTTGCTCTGAGTGAATCAAGAAAATAAACTCCTGAATAAAATACATTGCAGTTAATAGAGGAAAGGAAAACAATATCCATCCAAATGTGAAACCTATGCTCTTTATAATAATATGATTTTATTTCGCAAACAAACGCCATCTGGCAAATTGTATTTGTCAAAGTTCTATAACTGAGGTCTAGACAAAATTCATTAAGTAGCTCAGATTATTTTAGTTATAACGACCAGTAAAATATTGTCCCTCAGTTTGTTAGAGGTTACCTCAACTATGTCAGATGTTTGCTTTATCTGATGCAATTAAGGAGACACAAAAATTCATGACTCACACTGCAGACGTCATAAAGTCTGAATTAGAAAGGAAAGCCGCGATATTCATTATCTCCCAGGCCTTCGCACTTGCTTCATGCCTCATTTTAAACCTCCTTAGATAATCACTTCTTGAAAAAATTTTGCCCTTTTTGTTATCGCTTGCCACTACGCTACCCCAGAATTACAAAGTTCTATTTGACATTTTTTACAGTTTTGAGTTACAACGATCATGAAGTCAGAAACCTTTTTCTGCTCTATCAAATTCGTAACATTATTCGTAGTCGATATCAAGATATTCAAAGAATTGCATTCGAAAAAGCATGACATGTTATGAAATTCAATGTTTTTATCATCAAATTTTTTGAAAAACTAGGAACTGAGCAGATAGAACTTCGTAATTTTAGGGTAGCTACCAGGTAATACAAAGTGGGTTTCACCGTAGGTATTTTTCTATAATGCTTTATTGATTATCCAGATTTGAACCATAAGCGTAACGTTTTTGAACTTACAGTTTTGAGGAGTTCTTAAGACTCACTTCGGTTTGGTACTGTCAGAAACAGACAATAGATTGAAAGGTCCAACCTCTTATATGCCCTTACAGTGTTGATAGAGGCTTTAAACTACTACCCTATGTCCATAATATTGAGAGGTTGATTTTTGTTATGACGTCTAAATGATTAATCCGTGTCGATTAAGACGTTTAAGAATCGCATTAACTAAAATACATTACTGAATCTGCAGTGGAGATAAATGAGGATGCGCGTCACTGTATCCTTCATCATAAACCTACAAAACCCACATCTGAAACAGAATTGCTATTCTAAATTACCTTTGTTTACGACAGCTTCTAGACTGGTTCATGTAAAGTTTAACTTGTGTAATAATAACAGTCTCGTAAGCAGTAAACAGACTAACGGCAATCTGCCCAGATATATATGCTAAGCTCTGACGTATACAGAACCACTATGTTTGCCAGGAGCCTGACAGCCATTTCGGCAGACGCTTGCCTCATTATTCCTCGAGCCAATCTGGCATCCTGATTCCTATTCATAGGTTTCGTGGGGTAACGCACGGAAGCTTGCGCCAAATTTGAATACGTCGCCAAGATTGGCCTGGGATTATATAAATTGGCCTGGAATCAAAGGGGCTGCTTCCAAGACCGCCGTAAAAGGCTTCAAGGGTTTGGGTTTTCCCCCCTTATGTTTTAGTTATATTTTTCTTTAAATATGGAAGGGATGGTGGTTACATGGGTTTTTTCTTATCATTTAGAGGAGAGGGGTAGATGTTGTTGTTGTTTTCATGTGGAGGCTTTTCAGAAATAGTTTTGAATGTTACATGTTTGGAGTCCATATCCAAATATATGTTATTGTGGATGGAAATATATGTCTACGGATTAGTTGGAGCAGAAAACCCATAATTCCATATGTTTTTGTCAGTTCAGGAGTTTCCAATAATCCCTTTGTCTCCTCCAAACGTTCGAACTGATGTAAATATAAATTCGGGAAATTGTGGAGGGGGGGGGGGGGTTAAAATATTTGTTTGTTGTTGTTGATAACTTCAAATGGTTGTTTTTGGTGCTGTTGATGGCTTTCTAGAGGATGAAGTCGTGAGTAAATATCTGTAAACATTACGCCGTGTACCTTATCCGCAAAAAAGAAGCGACTACTGTATTCATTGTCGAAGAGAAATATGTTTTGCTGCTTTTTCAATCATACTACATAATGACAGACAGAGATGCATAAAGAAACACCTTCTCTAAACGGTAATAAAACTCTCTTCTCTGGCGTGAAAGACGAAGAGCCTAACCTTTACATCACAGATCGCTGTAACTATGTTTTACACAAAGCGAGATGAATACTCGTAATTGCTGTCGTTCGTCTCGCCTGCTGCTAGAAATTGCCAACTATACAAACAAGTCACTACCTCAGAATTACACAGTTCTATCTGCTCAGTACCTAGATTTGAGGTTCAAAATGTTCAGTTTCACAATGTGCCAAGCATTTTCGAATGCAATTCTTTAAATATCTTTATAACGACTCCGAATAATCTAACGATTTTGATAGAGCAGACAGAACATTTGATTTCTGACCTCATAGTTTTACTCAAATAGGCCAAAAATGTCAGATAGAACTTTGTGATTATGAGGTAGCGACGTATTGAAATCACGTAGACAGAAGTCATCTCTCACAGAAGCTTGCCACACGGATCAAACTGTGATAACTACTTTTCTCGGACTAACACTTTCTGATTGATTAGAATGCCAACGCAAATTCTAACCGGCTTTCTTTACTCTTGTTTACACTCTCATCCCTGTGTCTATCGACTGTGACATTATAACGTACGTCTGGCACCGTCAGCGCTTCCGTAATAGTATAAAGATTTCTTTATGAAAGCTTGCTCTTTATGGGGCGGAAATGTCAATGGAAGGTGTACAGATTCACACCACAGGCGTCTGTGAGTGCCACGGTTACGCAGGAGACCACGAGCTCTAATCCTTGGTGGAGAGAGTCTTTATTTATTGCGAGTCTCGGTTTTCTGCTGGAATGTTTTATCCCTCTCCGACAAGGTTGGCCCTGAATGAAAGGCAGGGCCGAAGCCCGACTCCTGAGTAATCTAATTGTGTCGATGGTAGTGTAAAAACAACTGCATTAATTTTTTTTAAATCAGTCCCATGAGATGAAAGACCAGAATCCAGGTGCTAAATAGGACTTTTTCATGGTGCTGCTCTGAAACTGAGAGCTTTTCAACCCAAAGGAAACAAAGACATTGGTGAAGTGTCATTTAAATATAAACTATGTTTTGGTTGTTTTTTTTAATGTGGTTACAACCCTTTACGTTTATGCAGACTTCTTAACGTGTTGATGTTGCTCGACAGGAAGATACCAAGAGACTAAACATGAAGAAGATTTGAGTGTTGAAATTGATATTTCAGTCAACCACCCAAACCGAAATCTCTCTCTCTCTCTCTCTCTCTCTCTCTCTCTCTCTCTCTCTCTCTC